ACCCAGCACGTGGGGATTTGTGAAATTTAAAGCTCTAGACAGCTGTTTTGTGGTGACTGCGCCCACGTGTACTCCCGCATTGCCCCACTGACTGGGTCAGAAAATAGAGTTGGTGATAGAATCATTGGGGGTCGGGGAGGTGGGGGGAGGGGCAGAGAGAATGGCGGTGGCAAGAGGGCAAGAAGGAAAAGTTAGGAGCCCACTAGCTAGATAGAGCAACTCCTTCCTTAGCCCCTCAGCCACCCTGTCAGTGGGAGAGGGGCCTGGTCTTTTCACACACGGTGTGTGAGGCTCTGGTGATGATGAAAATGGGCATGATTTAGAAATCCTGAAAGGTACCTTCGAATCCAGACACCTCAGATGATGTCTATCCCCCCTTTACCTCTGATATCTTTTCTCATTGTTTAATGCTGAATGTGTTACATAACATCTCAGCCCTCCACGTTCCACAAGCTGTAAGTATGGCGGTACAGTTGAAAAACTGGTCTAACTTCAGTGACACACACATGACACAGCACGATGAACAAAAGACCAGAAACAAATGCATGAATGTCCCCATGGATGATGTAACTAATAACTGGAAAACACATTTGATGGGAAAAATAAGAAAACAGACTTCAACCTGTCCTCTCTGAACAGATGGGCTGCTTGTTTCTTGGCTGGGCAGTAAACCTAAAAGTTTTCAATAGATTTATACCTTTCTCGTATACTCATGCTGAATCTCTAATCAACACACTGTGTAGTGTTGAGTGGAATTATTTCAGCTGGCTTGCTGTTTTCATTACCTTTACCTGAAAGGGTTAGGATTTCAAAACTATATCATTTCACACTTAATAGAGCCACTTTTCATCATAGTGAGTTGGGTTATAACTTCACATGCTTCAATAATGCATGGTAATTGTCATTAAATAAAATTTACATATCCATTCTTCTATATTTTGATATGTTGGGGGACGGTTAGATTGTTAAGGGCTGGTCTAAGATGTCACCAAGACTGCTTTTATGGGAACTTTCAGAAGTTGTGAACTGGGAGCAGGTAGACCTATATTTTAACTTTTGTGGCTATGAATCACCCGGTGCAGACTTGCGGCGCGGGACATTTTTACATTCCCGGATGCGATATAAGGGCCTGGACACTGTGATACTGAGGTCTACCTGCTCCCAGTTCACAACTTCTACCTGCTTCCAGTTCACAACTTCTGAAAGTTCCCATAAAAGCAGTCTTGGTGACATTTTAGACCAGCCCTTAACAATCTAACTCTATAGATTCTGACTCTATAGCTGACTTGGCCATCACTGAAATCTTTTTGTGCCTCTGTTTTCTTCTCTATAAAATGGGTACAACTATCCTGCAAAGGAAGTAAAGATCAGCATAGTGAAGAACATGACTCTCAGTTAAAAAAAAAAATAGGAACAAACACTTACAGTAGCTTCAAATCCCATGCTGTCACTTATTCTGAGTCCTTGCCTTTGTTACTTAATATTCTGGCCCTAACCAGTTTGGCTCAGTGGATAGAGCCTCGGCCTGAGAACTGAAAGGTCCCAGGTTCTATTCCAGTCAAGGGCATGTACCTTGGTTGCGGGCACATTGCCAGAAGGAGGTGTGCAGAAGGCACCTGATCGATGTTTCTCTCTCATAGATTTTTCTAACTCTCTATCTCTTTCCCTTCTTCTCTGTAAAAAAAAAAAACACACAAAAAAACCCAATAAAATATATATTATAAAAAAAATAATGCTCTGCTTCTCTTTCTGGATCCTAACCCATGGTTAACATCTGTGCTGAGAATTAAATGAGATGCCCTCCGTGCAGTGTCACCAGAGATGGCTGTTCCTTACACGATTTGCCCTACAAGTATTTGGCACTCAGACACGAATGGTCCTGTAGACCACAGATGTGAGCGCATTAGCCACCGTCTCTGAACAGATCGGCTGCTTCTGAAAAGCGTCTCTTTAAAGAAGATTCCTGGGCTGTAAAAACTTAAGGGAGTAAGGGCAAAACTGAACGGGAGCACTTCTATGGGTACCAGGAGGGAGGAGGGGCAAAACAATTTGTGAAACATAGTGTGGTTAAAGCAGAAGCGCCAACTGCCCACCTTGCTCCAGAAAAGGTGTACGGGGGCTCAGCAAACCGCCCCTCAGTGCTGTTGGCGGTGGAGCCCTGCCTGGGACCCTCGCTTTATTTTAAATCCGAGAGCTATAGGCATCTTACCAAGGGCCCACTTTCAGGTCCAAGCGCTTTCTTGAGCAACAACACTTGCCAGGAGCAAGGATGGCCCGTGCCAGGCTGGCAGCGAAGGGTGGACAGAGGCACCTTTTGGGGCGATAACCCTGTGTTCTCCTGGGGGAAGAGCCACTGCTTGTCGCCCGACCTCTGGGCCTGCGGCCGGTCGCTGCAGCACGGTGACCGCAGCCTCAGTATCACAGTGTCCAGGCCTTTATATCGCATCCGGGAATGTAAAAATGTCCCGCGCCGCAAGTCTGCACCGGGTGATTCATAGCCACAAAAGTGGGAGATGGGACCAGGGAATCGTAGCCCAGGACTCGCTGTAGTTGACACACGAAATTAAAAAAAATAAAAAATAAAATAAAAAAAGGAGGAAGCGCTCACACCGAACAGCCAAGAGATGGGCGCCCTGATCTAGGTGTGGTTGGGCAATACGTGCGGTCCCGGACTCCAACGCAGATCGCCGTAAAAGGGGAAACGTTTTAAGGCAAATAACAGGAGCAAGACGACCAGGGCGCAGGCAAGGCGGCGCGACCGCCCGGGCTTCGGTTTCCCTGTCTGCAAAACGAAGCTTCGCCCAATCCCACTATCAATCTACAACTATGTAATATTTCACGTTGCAGCTTCCCGAGGCTCGGAAACAGGAAAATGAGGGGAAGGGAGGAGCGGGTGGGAGATCGGGAGAGGGAACGGCGGCGGACGCCCAACAAGCCTGGCGGTATTCAACCCTAACCCTCCTCTCCACACACCTGAGCTCCCGGTCTCCGCCAACACCCCGCGCCCACCCAGTTTGGCACCAGTTGGCCAAGCCTCTCCCTCCACACACCAATTTCCTTTCGGAGCCACGGGGCAGATGGTGATCGGCACAATAATGCATGCCCGGGATGGCAGGGGAATGGTCCCGGCTAGGGTCCGGAGGGTAGGTGGATGGATCTGGGGCTGGGCATGGGGTCGCGGAGCGCGCGCGTCCCAGTTCGGCGGCCCCCGGAGGGCCAAACTTCATTCCCCACCTTTGAGTCAGAGGAGGGGGGTGCTTGCAAATTAAAAGGAAAAAAAAAGTTGCTGAACTTTTCCCCCAACACCGTCGTAGAGGCGGGCCCGGGGGGCGGCGCCTGCACGACGATTCGCGGCCGGTTCGGGTCCGGAGGCTCGGATTGGCGCGCGATGCCCGGGGCCGGGAAGAGTGGGCGTGGGGGAGGGGAGCGGCCCGCCCTGCCCGCGGGATGGGCTCGCGCGGGGAGCGGGTTAATTTCAAATCGGGGGCTTGACTGCTCCTGGACGGTCACGCTACCACTGCTCTCCCGCCGGCCCGCCAGGCCCGGTCCCGGCGTTCCCTCCTGGCACCCACCTCGGCGCGGCACAAGGACCGACTGACCGCCCGACTCGCAGGGCTCCGGAGCCCGAGTGGGGAAGAGTGCCGGGGACTCCCCTGCTCAGATCCCGCCCGCTCCCACCGTGAGGTGAACTGACAGGTCAGCGGGGCGCCGAGGGGAGCAGCGCCCGGCCCGCCGGGCTCCGGGGGGAGAGGTGGGGTGGGCTGCGGCGGCGGCGGCGGCGGCCGTTTCCCGCCTCTCGCTCCGCCGGGGGCGCGGAGGGAGGAGCTGGGCTCCCGCGCAGAGGGGAGGGGGCGGGCGCGGGGGAGGGGCGGGGTGCCGAAGTTCCGGGCGCGGGTTTGCCCGCGCTCCAGCCCCGCGCTGCTAAGGGGCGGCGCCGGCCACAGTCCGGCTTTCCGCGCCAAATTTTTAAATCGAGGGCGGAAGGTCCGGGCCCGCCCATGGCATCGCCAGCCAATCAGAGGCCGTCGGGTGGCTCTCTGAGTGGTCGGAAACCGTTGCCCTGGAAACCGCGAGGATGCTGTCCGGAAACTGCCCCGCGGGCGGCGCGCGAACCCGGCCGGGGGGGAGGGGGCAATTGACCTGGAGGAGGGGAGAGAGCGCTGCGTGCGAAGCGTGTGGCGCCCGCGGGGCCGTACCTGGTTACCTTACAGGGCGCGGGCAGTCTTCCAGGGCGGGGTTCAACGTCGTGAAGCGAGCTTGCCCCCCCGAATAGCTAGCACATAGCGCTTTGCATCTTTAGGGAAATCTTTATAAGAACTTGACTCATAAGGCGTTCTTTAAATGCCCGGAGTGTGTTTGGAGCGTAAGAACTGAATTTGGAACTTGCCTATCAAGCTATTTTCCAAGACTTTATACTGCTGAGCCTATGCACGTGTGTGTGTGTGTGTGTGTCAGGGGAGAAATTCAAGCATCGAAATTCAGACTTTTAACCAGATACTCAGGGTCGCGTCACTACAGCGGAACCTAGGCTCGCGAGCTCACTCTTGAGCCTTGACCTGTGGCTAGGTGGGTGCCTGAGCTCCGCTCCAGCCGTTCGGAGGGCTTCCAAGAGTGGCCTGACTTCTCCAAAGGTGAGAGAGGGCTGTCACTGGGAATTCTGTGGGTTGCTTGAAGTCTCATTACAGCGGATCCGTTTGCTGAAAGAATTTACGGGCGTTTGATGTAGTTCCCTACCCAATGGGGTTATCTCTGGTCTGGAATAGAATGTAAATGTAGATTGTCAATTTTCGTTAGTCTATGTTTCTGTAGTCTATGGTGTCCGTGAAGGAATTTTCAGTGGATCTCCTGCTTTTACTTTAATTTTGCTATTTCCTTTTTTCTTTTAGGATATTACATTTTAATAAAATTGTGTGGACCAGTTGAACCATCAGGATATTTGGAGGGACTTCAGATTTTTTATTTAAAAAAAAAAATCTCTAAAAGTATGAGAAATTTACAGGATGGAGACCGAAAAGGTACCTTTTTAACTTCAGCATTTATCCTTTGTTTTAAATAAATTATCATCCTGATTTAATTCATAATTTTCAATATCCAATATCTTAATAATTTTGTATCCTCTTTTAGTTGGCTTCTGTAAAAACCCAGGGAAGGGAAATTTAATTTTTGAAGAGGAAGACAGTTGCCCAGAGTTAAAATAATCTCAAAGAGATAAGCAGAAAGAAAAGTTATTTTTAAGAATAGTAAAATTTGTTAGTTTCATTATGATATTTCTGAGAATTTCTGAACAAAAGGAATTCAGTTAGAGCATTTGACATGATTTAAGTTTGGATTTCTTTTCAAGATAATTGTCTACTGAATCACCAGCTTCTGTAACTATAGGGTCTGCAAACACTCTGAGGGAAAAAATTTTTTTTGTGAAATTGCAAAAGAATTGTCTTGACTGGTGTTCACTGATTGCTAAGTTAACAAAAAAAGAAATGTGCAGATTTCCTAAAAGTTTTATATATTTGTCAATTGTGAAAATGGCGGGTTTGGCGGTTACTTTGATAGCCTGAGGCGAAGGAGAGTAGCCTTTCGAAAAATCCCTTTCTGGGTAAGCACCTCCTGGGTACACATGCTCAGGAGGGTTTCCCACTGGAAATCATATGTGGTTTTATGTAAGAGTGCCATAGTTGGATTGAGAGTTCAAGGCGGGTGTGACTTCTCGAAGCCTGGCTGTCCTCTTCTGCAGAATGGGACTATAGGATTTGGTGAAAAGCACTTGATAAATCCTAAGGAGTCACAGGCATACAAAACAGTCCCATTAATCTTTGTTTCTAAAGTCACTGAGGAATTAGTGTGTCTCTCTATTCTTTCACTTATTGCCATTCCAAGCATTTTCTTTAAAAATAGATTGGAAGGATGTGTGGGGTCCCCAGTGTCCAAAAGTAGAAGAAACATGGTCTCCATTAGTCTTATTTCTGAACTGCTGTCAGTTTACCCTCTTGGGTCTCAGTAGCAGTTCCCCTACTGCCGGGGAGAAGCTTTGTGACTTTGAGGAACTGATTTTATTCTCCATCAGTAAAGTGAAGGGGTAGATATTTAAAGGGTAGCCTTTTCTCTAATCCTACTCTTTGGCACTCTGGATTTTTACCAGCAGGTGTGACCGCATGCTAGCCCTCATCCTCATTTTTCTTGGCTCTCTGACTCTTCTATATCAGTAGTGTTTTATTAAGCACCTACTGCATGCAGTCACTGTGTTGGATATACAGATGAATGGGACATTGTTTCTGCAACAGAGACCTTTACTTATTACAGTTTCACTTGTGTTAGGGCAGTGGTCGGCAAACTCATTAGTCAACAGAGCCAAATATCAACAGTACAACGATTGAAATTTCTTTTGAGAGCCGAAAACCGACTTCTGCACATGGGCCATGAAGTTTCAATCACACTGTACCTATGCGCCTGCACGTGATATTTTGTGGAAAAGCCACACTTTAGGGGCCAAAGAGCCGAAGTTTGCCGGCCACTGTGTTAGGGATAGATAGGTATAGGAACTCTCTGCTATCTTTGCAACTTGACTCTAAAGCTAAAGTTATTTCAATATAAAAAGCTAAAAATATGTAAGTTTTGAAAACTTTTAATCCTTGGAACAAGAGATGAAAAAAAATTAAATCCATGCTTTGTTGCAAATTTTTTTTTTAAATGGGAGCATTAGTTTTTAAAAGGACAGGTATCAATATCATTACTAATTTAATCATCTCTGCAACCTCCTTTGGCACTCTTTCCCATAGCAATATTCTTTTGTATAATTTCTAGAGTCAAAAGCTATCTTATAAATCCTGTTTTACAGTGAATTTAATTATTGTTTAAACCAGGAAAATCTCTTTTGTGAACCACATAAAAGGGGACAGATGAAAACACCTCTGAAAGAATCCACTACAGCAAATATAGTGTTGACAGAGATCCAGCCTGACTTTGGCCCTTTAACCACACCCACCAAGCCCAAGGAAATCTCCCAGGGAGAACCCTGGACACCAACAGCCAACCTGAAAATGCTCATCAGTGCCGTGAGCCCCGAGATCCGCAACAGAGATCAGAAACGGGGGCTGTTCAACAACAGAAATGGATTACCTAAGCCCAAAGATTGTTTACACGTAGGTTTGCAAAGGACTGAAGGGATGTGGGGGGAGGAGAAGAGTAGCCATTGCAGAAATGCCAGCAATATAATGCATCGCCATCCCCAGACTGTTAGCCTCCTTCAAAGCACGGGAAATATTTGGGCCCCATCCACTGTAGCGCTGGGAATTCTGAACCTTGGAATATCAGCTCAAGTTTCCCTTTTAGATCTGCCACACAGCTGTATTGGCTCCACACCTTATACTCCCCGATTCCTCTCCCCCCCCCCTTCCCAATTCCCCAATTTTGCAGCTTTTTAAACAGCACTCGTACCAGTGTTAGAATGCAGATGCTCCTAATATACCTGTCAAACTTGATTTCAGAATAAGACTTATTTACCTCTTCCTTTGTAGGAACACTTATCAGGAGATGAATGTGAGAAATCCCAACCAAGTCGAAAAGAGAAAAGTTTAGGATTATTGTGTCAAAAATTCTTAGCACGATATCCTGACTATCCCAACCCTGCTGTGAATAATGACATATGTCTTGACGAAGTAGCTGAGGAACTCAGTAAGTATGCAAACAGCTCACTGAAATGGTGACTAAACTGATTTCGTGGACTTAGTCCTTCAGACCCACACTCTTCAAGACAGTGTTTGTAGTGACACAAAGAAGGCCACAGAGAATTCTGAATCTTGAAAGCCCTATTGAGGAATAAAGGCATATAGTTTCCAATGTCAGTGAGTCTTAAAACAAGCAAAAGATCACAATGGAGATTGCTTGGGACTGCATTTCAAAAGTTCTGCAGCCTTAAAGGAAGGCAGCATTGTTTCATGACTTGTTTCATATCAGAAACAGCTTGGAACGTCTCTCTTGGCTCTGTGGTTTTAAGGCCAGGCTGTGGGATGGTGTCTGCACAGGTTATGATGAGCATCAGCTTGAGTGGGGAGGAGCATGGCTTTAGCGCTCCCTACCGCTCAACGCTATTCTGAGGACCAATGCATTTTCTGAGCGTTTGGCAAAATCACTGTGTCCCCCACTGCCCCCTTTTACTCCTTTCTTTAAAGACTCAAATGTAGTTATTGCTAAGAAGTCGTCTAAGGCAGATTTGGGGCACCCTTTCAATCATGAAAGTATCTTAAACTTTAAAGAGATATGCAGAATATTTTTATATATGGCTACGGTATTACACCATAAAATTTTGGCGTAATAACTATATAAAGGTTATATATAGCTATTTTTAAAGGTTAATTTTACTTCACATTTTAAAAATATGTGATAGTCATCGATTCACCTACATCATTGTAGCTATGTCAGATGTACTCTGTAACTCAACAGGCATCTATTGATCGCCTAGTATGTGCCAGGCAGTGTTGTAGCCACTTGTGATAACTTCAGTGAACAAAAAGGAAAAGTGCCTGCTCCTATGGAATCAACATTCTAGTGGGAGCAATAGACACTATTCAAAGGACATACTGAGAAATTATAACATGTGTTAGTTCGAAGGTCATACATGCTATGGAAAAAAGAAAACGTGGACCAGGATAAAAGGATTGAGCGGACGTGCTGGGGGCGTGTTTTGCAATTTTAAAGTAAGCAGTCAGGTCAGGCCTCAGTTTGACAAGGTGACATCTGAGCGAGGACTTGAAAGAACTGGGGTGGAGAGCCATGAGGACATCTGGGAGAGGGATTCCAGGCAGAAGAATAGCACAGCACCAAGGCAACTAATGTGTATGATCAGGCAAAGCTATATCTGGCAGATTCCAGGAACAGTAAGAAATCTCAGGACCTTATACCTTATAGCTATCATATGACAACTGTGTGTGTGTGTGTATGTGTGTGTGTGTGTGTGTGTGTGTGTGTGAGAGAGAGAGAGAGAGAGAGAGAGAGAGAGAGAGAAAGAGAGAGAGAGAGAGAGTCGGGGAGTAACAGAAAAAAAACCCATAGCTATCATATGACAACTGTGTGTGTGTGTGTGTGTGTGTGTGTGTGTATGAGAGAGAGAGAGAGAGAGAGAGAGAGTGTCGGGGAGTAACAGAAAAAAAAAAAACACAAAAAAACAGGTTGCAAAGTGTGGTATTTGGAATATTAAAGATTTGATTTTGCCACTTACTTGCTCTGTGCCCTAGTGTGAGTCATTTAGCCAGCCTGAGTCTCTATTTCCTCCTCATTCAAGTGTGCAGTACAATACCTACGTCACATGTTTAAGCTAAAAATTTCTTAAAGCCGCATGGCACACAATAGACCCTCAATAAATGGCATTTCTAATTCATGTCAATTAATTTGTACCCTTTGAGAGAAGGGACATGTCTTTCTAATCTTCACCCTCGTTGAGTATAAATAAATTGTAACATCCAGAACCTACTGACAAATAACCATGGAAGAAAAAAAGTTATTAAATTCTGTACACATTCCAAAATCTGATGCTTGTAACATGCAGCTGCTCATTCTTTGTAGATGTTGAGCGTCGACGCATCTACGATATCGTGAATGTCCTAGAGAGTTTACACATGGTGAGCCGCATGGCCAAAAACAGGTACACTTGGCACGGGCGGCATAATCTCATCAAAACCCTGGAGGCTCTGAAAATCGCCGGGGAGGAAAACAAATATGCCGAGCTAATCATGATGATCAAGAAGAAGGAATATGAACAAGAGTTTGACTTCACTAAGAGTTGCAGTATAGAGGATCATGTCACCAAGGCAAACACAGACCAAAACGGGCACGCAGACATGAGTTTTGTCGAACTCCCTGGAGTGGAATTTCGGGCAGGTGAGAGCTGATGTTCAAAAGGTCTAAAGAGAAGGATCCTTAGGAAACACTGCTCTAAAGCTGCTGCTGCCTTTCATGTTAAAATGCCGCAGTTGTCAACCGTGTGGTCAGGTGGTGGTATTTTTAGCCTTGTTACTTTAGAAGTCACTTGTCCCTTCGTGCATTTTAATTCTCTAATCCTCATCCTTCTTCAAAGCCTCTGTAAACAGCCGCAAAGACAAGTCTTTAAGAGTGATGAGCCAGAAATTTGTGATGCTGTTTCTGGTGTCCACGCCTCAGATAGTGAGCCTAGAAACTGCTGCCAAGATTTTAATTGGGGAGGACCACGTGGAAGATTTGGATAAAAGCAAATTTAAAAGTAAGTACCATGACTCCGTGGACTTTTGGACCTAGTCTTAATAAAATAAAATCTGTTACAAGCTGATTTCCAAATATATTTGCTATGTAAACAGGTCTTCTCTAATTATGCTTTTGTATCTTCCCTTCTCCACAGAAGCCATGGCCGTCCTGCTTTAACTAATGCGTATGATCCAAAAGATAGGCATATAACTGACTCCTCTTATTTGTCTGACACTTTGACTTATAAACAGTTTCTTAAAAGTTACCTGGTTTGCTACTGTAGCATTGTCGCATTTTACTAGTATACAATCTGTAGTTGCCTGAAGTCTAAATGAGCAGTAAACTGTAATGTGGGACTGGAACCCAGGTCTCTGCTATTTTCACTGTCTCTCATATGTCAGAGTACAAATAACTCCTCTAAAATTGTCCCCAGAAGTGACCTGCAGCGCAGTCGGTTTACCAGTTTGAAAGAATGGTTTTGGCCAAAAGATTTGTTCAAAGTTGGAATAGGATTATAGCTTGGATTCCTGGCACAGAGTTCTGCTGTCACATCTATAACAGACTGTGTAGGATCCTCCATGAAGGGAGAGAGAGGGTGTGTGTGTGGGGGGGAAGTGCTTAGCGGACAGGGAGGGGTGTGCTGCACGCCCATCTCGCCAGGAGGCATTAGCAAACCACTAAGTAGGGAATGAGGCTAGCCTGGGCATGGGACACTTTGGGGACCCAGCTGTACGGTGGGGAAGAGCCACCTCAAGCAACAGCAGAGGCTATGGGAACACCTGGGGCTGTCACACACACCCCTTCCCATCCCTGAAGAGCTGTACTGGTCTCATGAAAGGCTATTCAGACATCTGAGGGTTGATAGTGGCTCTATCGGGATAAAACTAAGTAGAGAGAAAGGCAATAATGCCGACAATTGGCTTGGGAGATCTGCAATTTCAGAAAACATGTCCTGATACTACAAATGAGCTGCCTGCTTTTCTGAGTCACCCGTTTTCAGCTCTCCGTTTCCCTGGTTAGTCACAGCCTTGGAAACCATTCCAGGAACTAGAGGTGTGTAATTTGCTGAATCCCCAGGGAACTCAGAATCTTCTGGCGTGCCTAGGAAGAAGGGCTCAATTTATAATATTGTACTACCAAGCTGGAGGTAAAAGCAGACTATCTCTAACAAAACTTGTTCAAATATATAAGATCTGTAGAATTAATAAATCTAGTCTTTGCAATTATATAAGGACAGTCTTAACAATTTATAAATTCTGTTACAATGGAACTTTCCACACTTATGATATTAAATCAGTCTTATTGTTATAAATTCTCACAAGCAGGAAAGCAAATGCATTTATCATTAATGCTTTATTTATCCCGTTCATAAAATTCTTCTGAATCCTCATTAGAAGATGACCCAGTAATAGTGACTTTTTGTCAAAAAAGTCTGTGACATGTTCCTGACAGGGTGATCTCATTCAGTCGTTTTTCTTTTTTCAACACACGCTTCTGTCATTTCACAATTCAGTACCAGCAGTCACTGAGTCTTTTCAATATTTAAAACTACTTTTTAACTAAAGTAGTATCACTAGGCTAACTTTAAAAGAATCACATTTTTCTCTGCCTGACATTGATGGTTAAAATCGTATGGCTCTTTGAATATATGACATCCTTAAAAAGCAACGTCCTTTGATCTTTCATTATTCCATTAAGTGGTGTATATGAATTTTTTTTTCTCCCCAGCAAAAATTAGGAGGTTGTATGATATAGCTAATGTTCTGAGTAGCCTGGATCTCATCAAGAAAGTTCATGTTACTGAAGAAAGAGGCCGAAAACCAGCTTTTAAGTGGACAGGCCCAGAAATCAGTTCTAATCCCATTGGTATGTATCTGTTTTCTTAAATTCTTTGCTTCATTGTTTTGAATTAACACATATTTAGAGATTGTTCTCCCTTCCCCTGCCTGCCCACACTCCACATGGAAAGAACATATATGAGATAAATGAAAAGATGAGTGCAATAAGGAAGGTCTGGCTACTGGCTCCAGCATCAACCCAAGGTCACCAACCTCCCACATGGTACCCAGGAGGTAGAATCTGAATGGGAAAGGATTTGGAAAAGTTGAAAGCACCACAAAACATAAGATACTATTGTTATCGTTCTTATGCTTCTCAGTGACCATGACAGAGCCTGTCCACATGGAGAATATGAAATGAATTCATTCTGGGGTCAGTATCCTAGTCTCCGTTTCAACTCTGGGATTCTGACACTGCATTCCGCCAAAGCTCCAGCACAGAAGTGTTAGAAAGTGGTGAGAACATGTGCCATGGAGGCAGAGGGAGACTTGGTGTCCAGTATCAGCTCTGCCACTTACTAGATGTGTGGTCTTGGGCATGTTATTCCTGCAAGGCTGGGTTTCCTCACCTGCAAAATGGGGAGAACCGTGGTGCCTTTGTGAGGTTATTGTGAGGTGGGATGTAATCTCAGAGAGGTCCTTTGCCACAGGGATTTGTAGTGCAGGCTCTGGGGCCATCCTGGTGGAGTTCATATCCCAGACCCACATTCCACCAGCTGAGAGGCCATGCCTCAGTTGGTTAAGGTCTGAATGGGGGTGCATTTCCTGAGAACTACCTCTCCCATGGAGTGGTTGAGAGTGTCTTACTTAGTGTGTTCAGGCTGCTATAGCAGAATTCCATAGGCTGAGTGGCTTATAAACAACAGAAATTTGTTTCTCACAGTTTTGGAAGTCCTAAGATCAAAGTTCTCATTGTAAGCTCGCGTGAGGGAAGAGGAGCTCCTGTTCAAGAAGGCTCTGCCCTCATGACCTTGGCACCTCCCACAGGCCCCACTTCCTAATATTATATTGAGCATTAGGTTTTGACATGAATTGGGGGATGGGGGAGCACATATTCAGTCCACAGCAGTGAGGGTCACTGTATTTCAGCAGATTAAGACTCTACTGATGGCTCCAGCCAATGTTGCTCAGTAGCCTGGAGCATCCTCTCATATACCGAAGGGTCGTGGCTTCGATTCCCAGTCAGGGCACATACTCCGATTGTGGGTTCAATCCCCAGTTGGGTTCATATGGGAGGCAACCCATCAATGTTTCTCTCCCTCTCCCTTCCTCCCTAAAATCAATGAAAAACATATCCTGGGGTGAGGATTAAAATTAAGATGCACAATTTTTTATATATCAATAAAAAAATTTTAAAAAACACCTGCTAATTATGCCATACCACACCACTGGTTATAATTTACAATGGGTTTTTGAAATTCTAAGTGTGAAATTTTATCTCAGAATTCAATGTCTTATTTAGATAAAAGCCCATAACGCAGTGTCTAGCATGTGATTGGTGATCTACAAATGCTTCCACTTAATTCCTAAAATCATGTTAAAACTGCACTTTGACCTACATCCCAAAAGGAAGATGAATCGCCCACATTTGAACATCTGCCCTTTTCTCTTTCAGGTGTGAACCCCATCATTTCTTTCCCCACCTCGGACATGGAAGTGAGGCAGCCTTCAATAGAGAACTGTGCCAAAAACCTCTTTGCCACACACCGGAAGTCAAACTTTACGCGGCACCCATCTCTTATCAAACTGGTGAAGAGCATAGAAAGTGACCGGAGAAAGATCAGTTCTGCTCCCAGTAGCCCTATCAACAAAGGTGTGTTTTCAATCATGTCAGGGCTCTGCTCTGAAGAATTCCTTGTTATCTGATTTTTTTTTTAGATCCCTATGGGACTTATAGGAGAATTGTTTCCATGTCCATATGCTTAACCCCCCTTGAAGCCTAATTTATGCATGAATTAGACTCATTACTAGAGGATAAGTAGTTTGTGGGGGTTTTTGTTTAACTGCTGTGTGCTTTGGAAGGAGATGCATTTTTTTGTGTTCACTGGGCTTCGGTGATCTGTCATCTGTGTGAGCATTTATTCTTTCGCTTTGACCAACACCCACACCCCTTCTTTCTGTTTTACCAGCTGACAGTTCTCAGAATTCTGAACCCTTCCCAAGTAAAATGGCTCAGCTCGCAGCAATTTGCAAAATGCAGTTAGAAGAGCAATCAAGGTAGGTTAGCAATCAAGGTAGGCGGGATGAATGCCATAGCTGCATCATTAGGATTACTTATAATACTTTATGTAAGAAAGGGCGCTAGCCTTGGAAACTGGGGAGATAGCCTTTTCTGAAACTCATAGCAAAATATTACAGAAACCATCTACTGGTTTCATAAAAGCAAGGCTTTCAATCTGGGACAGTCTAGAGTGGTAGAACGTTTTAGAGAAAATGTGTTTACGTCATGTTTTAAATCTTGTCTTTTAGTGAATCCGGAAAGAAAGCAAAATCACAGCTGGCAGGATCTGGGCCCTGCAAGCCAGTGGCCCCTCTGGATTCCTCAGTGAATGCTGAGCCGGAGCTCCCCCCACCGCCCCTCGTGCAGCCGCTGGGGGTGGTCCCTTTGTTCCCCAGCCCACTGTCATCGGCGGTGCCCGTAATCCTACCTCAAGCGCCTTCGGGCCCGTCCTATGCCATCTACTTGCAGCCTGCCTCTACCCACACCATGACGCCGCCCCAAGGCCTGAGCCCGACAGTCTGCCCTAACCCCTCTTCTAAAGCTACAAGATCAAAAGATTGCACAGATGGCACCACCGAGAGAGCAGCCAATGATGCCACCAAGCCTAATGTCTCCATCAGGCCCATGCCGCAGAGACACGGTGCACAGAATGGAGACACAGAACCTGCTGGAGAGAGAGGCCCAAAGAGGGCAGGCATGCTCGAAGATAGTGGTTCCAAAAAGAAATTTAAAGAGAATCTAACAGGATTTGAAAATGTCTCCACTGTAAGTACACCCTTGCAATGTGCAAAGTGTTAGGAACTCCCCAATTTATTAGAGGAGGATTTGGTGGCTTGTGAAATCCACCAGAGCAAAGAGCAGTCTCTCAGAAGACAAGGAACTGTTCCTTAGCATCCGTAATGCAAACAAAGCCCCAAACAGCTAATCCCCTGGCTGGGACGATGGCAGGGACATTTTTAGCCTCTGGAGGAAGGGATTATTGGCTGTCTTTTTAAAGCGCCATGGGTGGTTGTCCTTAGTCCATTTCTCCACCACACATTGGAATGCAAACACCTGTCATGAAAGTCTTAAATAATTTATAATACAAGCAGATGTAACCCCCAGTGAATGGCTGGATATGTGGGGTCCCAGTGACTCCTACTTTTAGAGTTTTCAGTGTATAGATTTTCCATGTCCCCCTGCTTCTTTTTTCATCTCTGTAACTTCATTTTGACCATTTCTTTTTAGCATGAACTGAGCAGAACAAAGAAAATATGTTAACTTGTATATTAATTAATTCAGCAACCTTTACTGAGAATCTACACTTCTGAGGGTAAAAAGAGGACAGTATACAAATAACACAAACATCAATAAATAATAAGAATTACAGTGAAAATAACATAGGATGTGTACTAATAGGAAGAATGGGTAAAAGGGCTAATGTAGGCTAGAGGAGATCATAACATGCAAATTGAAATATGTCAAATTCATTCATCCTCCTTATTTAATAATTATTTGTGTGGGGTTTTTTTTCAAAAAGGGAATTGGCATTGTAGGCTAAAAGATGTTGTGATGAATGTAGTTTGTAGAAAACTAAAAAATAACCAGTAGTGGAGTACTACAGGTTTTGCTAAAGACTTGAAAGAATTAAACCAGCAACTTGTGCCATGAGAGCATGATTAACAATAGCAAAGTAGCAAAGAGGATTTGTAAAATCCCTAAATTCACTCGTTAATAATTTTTATCCCTGCAGCTTTCAAGGAACCTAATCAGTAAAGAAAATGAGCAGTGCCAAGCATCTAAGATACTAAATTTTAAAGTTTGTGGTCCACTTTTAGCATTGTGGGTTCTGAACTTACTGGTTCCCAAGGAAAAGACAGGACCTATTAACAGCTAGATCAAAGTGTAGACTGTTGTTTTAACAATGTCCAGAAGAAAGATCTGGACATACACACACACACACACACACACACACACACACACACACACACACATTTACAAGAGCTGCTGTCAGTCCTGCTCAGGAGAAGGCCAAAGCAGGCTTCTTGGGCTTTCTCTGTCTGGTCAGGTATCGTGATCTGGCAGGCACGGGGAAAATGTGCACAGCCTAACACTTGAGCCGTTTCCATTTGGTCTATAATGTTATTGCCTAAAAGCTTTTGCTCCATAATAGTTGAGTCTCATGTGAACTAATCCGTTCTCCTTTTTTACCTTAGTTTTTGAATTTTGGTGCCATGCCCTTTAGTTTGTAATGGTATATGCATGTTTTCTTGATAACCATTAGAACCTCAAGTATTAGAAACAAATCTGTATTTGTAGAACTCCTTTGTTCTAAATCAGGGATCAGTAAACATCATTCTGTAAAAGACCAGATAGTAAATATTTTTTACTTTGTAGACCATATGTCTCCACTGTACCTATTCCACTCTGCCATGGTAAAAAGAAAATGGGAAAGCAGCTAGAGACAGTAAATAAATGAATAGACATGGCTGTGTTCCGATGCAATTTTACTCAAAAATAGACAGGAGGCTGGCTTTTGGCCCATGGTTTGGTAACCCCCTTCTCTAAATCAACATTTCTTAAAATGTGTTTTCTCTAAATTCCAATACAACCAAAAATTTAGTTGCCAGATAGCCTGGGAAATGCTACATGCTGGAGGCTCCCCCTGGGAGATTTACAATGCATGCCACTATTAAAGAAATTCTCTAATTATACACCATTTTCCTGTGTTGAATTCCCAAACATACTTGAGCATGGTTCAAGCAGTGCCTGCTTGCATCCCCTGAAACTAAGGTACCTCAGAATACTCTGGGAAATACCATTCTATGTAATTCAAGAACAATCTATAATAACATAACAGTGCCACTATCGTGTCCAACTGCATTAACTTGGTTCCCACAGTTAGCACCACATCATACAAAGGGGTCTGAGCAGGAATTAGAATGTCAGTGTGAAAGGGATCTGCTGGGTGAATCCTACTCTAAGCAGACCCAATGGTAGCATTAGGACACTTCTTAAGACCACAGAGGGCATTTAAGAAACACTTGGTTTGTGCCCTGGTTGGTGTGCTCCATAGTTAGATCACCAATCTGCACACTGAAGGGTCACAAGTTCAATTCCTGGTCAATGACATGCCTGGGTTGCAGGTTCAATCCCCGGCCCTTGTTAAAGCTCATGCGGGAGGCAACTAATCAATATGTCTCTCTCACATTGATGTTTTTCTCTCTCCTTCCCCTGCCTCCCTTCCAGTCTTTAAAAATCGATGAAAAAATATTCATGGTTTGTATGACTCAGGACAAGTGTTGGAATGGGAGGGAGGGATATTGTCTTCAGGGGGTTGTATAGCTGTCCTGCCTGTAACCCTACTGTTTGGAAGCATCAGTCTAATGAGACAATCACCAAGGTATATTACATAATATACCTTGGTGATTGTCTTACATTCTCCGAAAATAAGACCTAGCACATGGAAAGATAAGACATCCCCTGAAAATAAGACCTAGTGCAACTTTGGGAGAAAAAATTAATATAAGACACTGTCTTATTTTCGGTGAAATAGGGTAGTCCTGGAAGAGACACAGGGCCGTTTTTCTTCCAGTATTTGTGTGTAAAATAAACCCTTCCTACTCTTTTTCTAGACACTGTTTCCATCAGGATACCTAATCCCTCTCACCCAGTGCGCAAACCTGGGGGCAGAATCCCTTTTGCCTAGTAAAGAAAACTCAGGTACATTTTCCCCAAACCACAGGATCTACAGCTCCCCGATTGCAGGTGAGTGTACATCAAGCATTTATTCAAACACTAGGGGCCTGGTGCATAAATTTGTGCACCTTGAAAAGAACAATAGGCCACGAGGCTGCAGTGAGCACAGGGGCAGGTCTTTGCTCATCCTCTGAGCCCCCACCAGCGGCTCCCGCTGTGGCCCCCAGTCTCCTCTCTGTTGTCAGCCAGGCTCCCACTTCCACTGCTCCCATGCATTGATGGTGCCAGCCCTGCTCACACCCGCTGACAGTGTGATTGATTGGGGCTGTTGACGGCAGTATGAGCAGGGCCAGTGCCATCAGCAGGTACAAGCAGTGGCTGCTGCCCGATTGCCCCTCAGGATGGGTTGGGGGTAGAGAAGCCCTCAGGGGCGATCAGGGCTGGCAGTGGGTGCCAGCAGGGCTGTTGCCGGCAGCAGGTGCCAACACCGGGTGGGACCGAGGTGCATGGGAGCAAAGAATTTTCAGTAACCACCAGAGACTCACCCTGATGACAGCGACCGGTGCCCCACCTTGGTCTGGCACCCCTGCTCACCTGCTTCACCATCCTGCCGCAGTCAACTCCCGCCATGTTCTGCATGCGCCTCCCTGGTGTCAGCGCACATCATAGCAACCGGTTGTTCGATTGTTCCACCATTCAATCTACTTGCATATTAGGGTTTTATATATATATGTAGATGGGTCAGTCTCAAGTTCATTTAAGCCTTGTAAGCTTCTTGGACAAATGCCTGTGCTTTTAAGATATTTTCCCTCCTTTTCTTCCAGGTGTTATTCCAGTGACATCATCTGAACTCACTGCTGTGAATTTTCCCTCTTTTCATGTAACACCTTTGAAGCTAATGGTCTCACCAACTTCCGTGGCGGCCATACCTGTAGGGAACAGCCCGGCTCTCACTTCGAGCCACCCCATTCCCATCCAGCACCCAAACTCGGCCATTGTAAACTTCACCCTGCAGCACTTGGGGCTCATCTCCCCCAGTGTACAGGTGGCTGCCAGCTCTGGGCCCGGAACTCTTCCCATGTCTCCAAGAATAGAGGCTGTTAGTGTCGTGCCAGAACATGCAGGCACTCAGCAAGGAAGGGCCACCCGGTATAACTCTCCGGTCCTGGGCCAGAACCAACTGAATGGACAGTCCATTGCTGTGATGGGGGCACAGCAGGTAAGAGTATTTCCACTTATTTTTTTCCTGGGGTTATTAAGTCCCAAATGTCAGTGTCCTGATTAGTAAGTCCCAAATGTCAGACTTGCTTTTGCTTTTCTTCTTTGGAGAGGGAAAGGATGGGGGAGTGAGGAGGCTGAAGGCCTGCCTGCTCTCCAAGCCTGGAAAAAGTGTGCAAGGAATCCATATTATTGCTTTACTGTGAGCTTTTCTTGCCTTAACAAAAATAGCTGAGAATGGAAAATTCATCCAGGCTTACCTAGCCGATTTCAAAGTATGCTGGGCTCCCACATGTGACATGGCCTTCCAGTCCAGTCTCGTAAATGCTACTTGAGTTAGAGCATACCTGTCTGTGGTGTGGGTTTGACTTCCTTTTTCCATTCCTCTCTTTCCAATCAGCCTGTTCCAGTAACACCCAAAGGGTCACAGTTAGTGGCCGAAAGTTTCTTCCGTACCCCAGGTGGACCAATGAAATTGATGGGCTCACCCGGCATGGATTTTGATGGTGCTAATAAAACCTCCGTAGGAGCTTTCTTTGTCCCACAGCGAAAACTGGAAGTCTCAACTGAAGATGTCCATTAATTGACAAATTTGGCTTCATTTAATTTCCTAAAGAGTTGTTTAATAGAGAAGATGTACTCAGACTCGTTTGGAGAACACATTCCCTGAAAATACTGTAAATATGTTGAGGGTTTACTTAATTTCAAAACAACACTTATTTTCTCATGCATACATATATATATATATATATATATAAAAATATATTTGTATTAAGCTAAATTCATAAGTAATCCTAAAAAATAAAAGTAAAATGTTGAACTAAGGTATATTAACTTCTAGGGAAAAAGAATGAATTATTTCACCTGTGCCTATACCATTATGAAAAGTAACTGTATTAAAGTTTACTTTCCATTGAGTGAATATGTGACATGCCTAACACAGCATTCTCTTAAACTTTGCACAAAGAAAAAGCTGTGATGTATAATGTATTTTTAAATACGACTATAGCTATATTTTTTTTGTAATTTTAATCTGTTTTTGTTGCAGTCTGTCTTTTTGTAAAGTTTGCAACAATCCTCAATCAAGTCTATGGAAAAATTATTTATAAATGTATTTTTAATCATAAATTGTTGAAATTAAAACTTTTCTAAAATGTATTTAACATTTTCATTTGGCCAATTAGGGCCCTGTGGGAAGAAAATGAAAACTTATCTAACTGACCTCAAGGGCAAATTCTTGGTGTGGAGCATCATTCCTCCTGGGTCCCCTTAGACACACAAAGTTTACCAAATGTTCCTACATTCTGTCTCTCGTGTGATCTTCCATTGGCTTCATTTTACAGAAATGAAAATGGCTTCAGAGATTCTGCTGCTTGGTCAAGGTCACCAAGCTAAGTCTCATGTGCTTCCCTTCATACCTAGAGGGTTAGAAATGAAAGGGGGATCTGGGGTGCTTACTACCATGCCCTGACACCACCAGCATCTACCCCAGGCCTCCTGCTGTCTACATGGGAGGAACTGTGATATGGTTCTCTTACCACACTTTCCAAATGACCCAGCTCCAGGGAGGGGAAAGTAGCGGTTTCTGATTTTCTCCACACTAAATCCCTCGAGCTCCAAGAGAAGACATGAGTTACAGTGTGCTGAGTGCACATCTCTTTGCCCTTCCTTTGTTATGGGACGAATTGCAACTTGAAAATTGACACGTGTTAAAGGATCATCATCATATCTATTTCCCACTTGTTTACTGTATGCCGGGCACTGTGTTACTCAGTTTTTAAAGCTACTCCCTCTATAAACTGCGACTATGAGGTCACTGAGGCTCTCAAAAAAGCAATAAGTCCAGAGTCACACCCTCTTTGTCCATTACCCACCTGCCTCCATATGCAAGCCTAGCAACTGGTAGAAACCAAGCACATTGTATCAGGAAAATCTGAGCATTTATAAGGTCACCCCTTTCAAATATACTTTTTTTTTTTTTTTTACATAACCAAGAACAGCTAAAAGGGGAGAGATTTTCACATTATTCCCTCTTTTTTTTCACCACTAGAAAACCAATATGAGCTATTCCAAAGTGCCTCTGCCTTTTACACTACTTGAAAGACATATGAATGGTTCCTGAGAGAAGAAATGGCTCCTGCTTTTAGGTGCTTATTTATAAAATACAAGGGGTGGGCAAAAATAGGTTTAGAGTTGTCATAATAATATAAGTATAAACTTTAGTGTACTCACAACTGTAAACCTACTTTTGCTCACCCATGTATAGTTGAGGGAGACAATATGTATGTGTGAATAAATGAAAGAATTTTCATGCAATAAAAAAAAAAATTACCAAATGGTAAATACAAAAAATATAGTTCACTGGAGGCTACTGTATGGACAACTTTGAGGGAAACGCCAACTAGAAGCTCTTTACATCCCTCCCCTTCCCTATCACGGAGCTGGAGAGGTTGGAGGCCTGGGTGTTGTTCTGCACTCCCTCAGTTTTCCACATGAAATGCCTCCGCAGGATTGACATTTAGGGAAACCAGATGCACAGAAAGAGGCATGTTAGATTCCATAGCAGCTCTGGGGATTATCCCACTCAGTTCTGCCACTCTGACAGATTCATGGGTTTGCTCCAACACCCACCTCCTGGTATTCATGTCCCTATGCAACTCCCTCCCCTTGAGTATATGTGGGACCTATGAATATGTTCTAACCAACAGACACGGTAAAGGTGATGGATGGGATGGCATGATTACTCGCACACAATTATGTGCTTCCATAAGGTTGTAGAGCCTGTCTTGCTGGAGTCTCTCCCTTGCTGGCTTTGAGGAATCCAAGTGGCCACGTTGGGGAACCCAACATAGCAGGGAACTTACTATATGCAGCCTCTTTGAGCTGAGGGTGGCCTGCAGCTAACAAGCAGCAACAAACTGAAATCCTCGGTCCTATCTAGAGTTACAAGGAACTGAATTTTACCAACAGCCCAAGTGAGCTTGCCAGTGGTTCTTTCTCTAGTCAGGCCTCAGATGAGATCACAACTCTGACACCTTCACTATAGCCTGATGGGATCCTAAGCAGAGAACCCAGCTAAGCTGTGCCAGACTCTTGACGCATGGGAAGTGTAATTTAATAAATATGTGCTGCTTTAAGATGCTAAGTTTGTGGTAATGCTGTTATGCAGCAATAGAGAACTAACACAACACACTAGTGCTCATAACTGTCTTCTTCCAATTTGTCTTATTATTGTTCATTGGTTTCATAGGCATTCATAGATGCAAACATCAGGGGGACATGATAACCCCAAAGGTTTTCATGGGAGAAGCCTGACCATGTATAAAGCTGGAAGCAACCTTAAAGATGCCAAATAACACAGTAGTGGACAAAGTTATTGGCCCGGTATGCAATTTCTCTCTTTAAACTGCCTTCTGATTTCCAGTTAAGGAATTACAGTGGGCTGTAACTGGAGACCCCTCATCTCTATACCAAGGATGGGCTTGTCATCCAGACTAGGCCAGCCTCCCTGGAATTTGATGTTTCATTTCATCCTAGCAATGATCTCATCTTTTTGGTCCCCCTGAAAGTTTGCTGCTGTAGTTCCTGCTTTCCAGCCTCTGGAAAGGCCTTGGCACCTGCCCACATTCAAGCCTGATTTTCAGCCCTCCATCCATTCTGTAGGCCTTTGTATCCTCCCAATAAATTTCCTTTGCTTGAAGTTGCCCATCATTTGTAGGCCTAGTAACCAAAGGACTTTTACAAATCACAGAGGGAAACCCAAAGCCAAAGCTTCCCAATTCCCATACCAATTAGTTCTCTGTTCCCTGGCCAACAAGTGAATAGAAAAAACCTTCAGATATGCTTATCTCACCAGAAAATGCAAGCAACTCACCTATGTTCAAATGAATGCAAAGTGTCATTTTAAATACCTGGAAGGAAAATAGTTTAAATAAAGGGCACAATGAATCTAGGAAACTAGAGCAACAGAATTTGACGGGGGAAATATATATATATTAAACCCAGATTTAAAACACATTTCCTCAGCCTTGTCCTTTTCAAGTGATTAGTGTTCCTACAGATAAAGGATAAGGAGATTTCCAAAACTTAAGCATATAAGCTGTCTGAGCAATCCTATTAATAATATAGAAAACTATGGGTGGACTGTAGATTCTTTACAGTACTTGTCACCACTTGGTAGTTTTCAATACTTGAGGGCCTAAAGTAGGAGATAAGCTGGAAGAAAACGTGTTATTGTTGTATGTTTTAAAAAAAAAAGAAGAGTATAACCTTTTATTTAACTTTTTTTAAACCTTTTTTTTATTAAATTATCATCTGTGTACATATTTTAACATTCCCCCTCTCTCCCATACATACCCTCCCTCCCCAGAGTTATGAGTCCATTGGTTGTACTTATATGCATGTATACGAGTCCTTCGGTTGATCTATTATCTCCCCCAGATTTTCCTACCCTCCCTATTGTAATCTGACAGTCTGCTTGTTGTTTTACTGTCTCTATATCTTTTGGTTCATCAGTTTATAATGTTCTTTATTATCCATAAATGAGTGAGGTCATGTGGTGTTTTTCTTTCATTGACTGGCTTTTTTCACTTAGCATGATCTTTTCCAATTCCATCCAGGTTTTATTTAACTTTTAAATAAGTGGTTTTACATCTCAATTTCCTATGCATTCAGGTCAATTATTTACTTAGTTGGATAAGTAACTAAATGTGGACTTGTCATGATTGTCAACATTTTGCAGAAAATTATACGTAGGGAATATATTATCAGTGTCCTCCAACAGTCAAGTTTTTAACTGCATTTTGAAAGGTTGCGAGAGAATCTTCCATAGATCATGCATTAGGCTCAGAGTCTGGTTTGTCCTGTAAATACTGAATTCTATTTTTAAAATATTTATTCAATTATTAACCTAGGCTCTGCACTATATTATGCAAAATCATGCCTGTTACCCTACTTTGGATAATAAAAGATTCTCTGTATATGAATCTTCTAGAAGTTTATCTTAAATGAAAACATTTTTATTTTAGAGACTATTCATTAAAATCTTTCTAAAGTGATAAAATAAGCTCCCCAGATTCCTAAATAGAGTTCCTTGAATATAATTTAACTTTTCTTTCATGTTTAAGAAATACATGAGCACTATTGTTTTATTAAACTTAATAAACAATTTAGGCCACCTATGATAGAATCATGCCTTGGGGGCTATGAAATGTGTAGATCTACATCCTCCTGAAATGAATGACTCTGGAATATACTTTTCAAGTTCTGGTTCTATGGTTCTTTGTCTCTACCTTTTTGTGTGTTTGTTATCTTTACCCGCGGATATTTTTCCATGGATTTTTTAGAGAGAATGGGAGAGAGGAGATACAGAAACATACACATCCATTGGTTGCCTCCCACACACTCCCTGACCAGGGCCAGGGATCAAGCCTGCAACTGAGGTACATGCACATGACCAGAATCAAACCCAGGAACCTTCAGTCCATGGGCTGATGCTCTAGCCACTGAGCTAAACCAGCTAGGGCTGTCTCCAACTTCTATATAAACTTCAACTTTCCTCTTCTCTCTACTTTCATGATTAAT